TAAAAAAAAAAAAGTGTGTAGAAGGATTAGGGAGTGACCAGACTGCACTGTAAGCCCAGTGGCTGTTGTGAAGGGGTACCACGGAAATGGGCATTGTGGAGGTTGTAAGACCAGAGACTCTTGACCCTGGGCACAGATGGCCCAGCCTGCAGGCTGCACTGCAGGGGCCTGTCCAGCCTCCACCCCGAAGCCCTCGTCGTGGTCCCCGCACTGCTGGTGGACTTCTCTATGGGGAGCTGGTGTTTAGGGCGAGACTCTTCCTGGTGGGGCATGGAAGGAGCCGCTCCGCTGCGGGAGAGCCCGGAGGATCCAAGACCCCCTGGGACAGGGCGAGAGATGGTTGTAATTAGAGTTGAGGGCTGGGAAATCAGGCAGAGAGGGATGACATCTTAATGAGGTTTAATGAAGCTGTCTGCTCATGGGGACAGCTGTCACCCTGAGCTCTGTTCCAGCCAAGCCACTTGATGACGGGAACTTCGGGGAAAGGCAATTTGGAGGCGGCAGGGGAAGGCGGGGCAGTCAGAGACAAGCGTGTGTACTTGGGGGCATTGCTGTCTGTGCCCACCTCAGCCCCAGCGTTCTGGCTGCAGGGCTGGATTTGAGTTTCCTCTGGGGTTTCCCAGTTGCCTGATGTGCCATGCCAAGGCGTGCCTCTTGAAAGACCTTGGGGATTTTGCACATGGCGTCTCAAAGCTTCGGTCATGAAGTGGGAATCACAAGGACTTGGAGGGCTGAAGAGGACTTGATGCCTTCCCTTTCTGAGCCTCAAATTCCCACCTGTGCCACGGGGACTGCGTGGACATGGGAGGCGAGGTGCAGAGTGGGGATCTCTGGGGGCTGGACACAACCCCCCAGGCTCTTCTGCTTCCCTCCTGGATGGGTGGGAGCAAGTGCAGACCTGTGCCAACTTCCATTTTCAAGTCTGTGAAATGGGTGACTCACCTGCCAGAGTGGTTGGCAGCTTGCAAGGAGAAGCCTAGAAAGTTCTGGGTGCTCAGCACACAGTTAAGGGCTGCTGTGGCAAGATCAGCGTCACACGTGCCCTGGGGAGGGCCTCAGGCGGTGGGGGTTATCTCCTACAGGGACGCTTGTGCTGGGAAGGGGCTCTGGGTCTCCAAGGGACATGCCATCTGATCTGCCCCAGGACCTTGGCATGACTCAGCCTCTCCAAGTGTCTGTCTCGCATCCTGACATGGCAGGGAACTGCCTGGAGACCAGGAGTCTGACCGAAGCCCAGAGTCGCCATAGCCAAGCCACGTCGGTTCATGTCAGCGTGCGGTCACGTTGCCACTGCCAGGTCACACCTGGGACTGAGTAGTCTGCCAAGGGGCGAAGCGTGCTTCTCACAGGTCCAGAGCCTGGGAGTCCAAGAGCCGGTGCTGCTGGCCAGTGTAGTGTGAGAGGGGCCTGGGCTCTGCTTCCTGCGTGGTGCTCAGTGCTGCGAACTCCTGCTGTGGAAGGCACAGCAGGGCCGTGCGGGGACCCCTCCCACTCTCAGAGGAGGGCCCTGCTCCCCAACTTGGCCACTTGTGAATGGCCACACCTCTGCCTTCTGCGACACAGCAGGTGAAGTTTTCTTACCTGTTCGTAGCAGCTCTTTATGTAGGATACACAGGAGTGCTTTGTGGGAACATCTGAGCAGCATCTTCTCTCACTCTGGAGTCACTGATGTTTTAGAGCCCTGGACTCCCCTCATCACGCCCTGGCTCCCTGGTCTGTCATTTGTTCCCTATTCTTTGTGCTATGAAAGGGGCTATGTCTGCCTCTGCCACCTTAGAGATCCCAGCCGGGAAGGGCTCGGTGCAGAGCAGGCCTGAAGTCAACGTTTGTGAAACACCCAGTGTGAGCAGAACTCCCACAAGCTTGTCTGCTGGCAAGCCCTGGCAGCTATTGACACACAGAGAGAGATGGAGGTGCCATCCTGCTCAGCCAATGCCCACAGCCTGAGGGTGACAGCCAGCTCCTGGGGCGCTGCCCACCTGCACCTGCCCTGGACAAGGCGTGCCCGGCCGTCCCCAGCGAGGCTAGATCATTCGTAGAAACAAATCAGAGGCCAGAGCACTGTGTGCAGCCCTGAGTGAGGGGTGTCGGGGGAATGGGAGCCAGGCATCTTGCCGTGGCCCCAGGCCTGGGATTCGGATGGCAAGCAGGAGGGATACTCAGTAAGAAAGAAAGCGAGGGAGCTTCAGTGGCCACGTGTCCCCCAGAAGGCACGTGTTGAGAGGCCAGTGTCGTGGTGCAGTGAGTTAAGCCAGTGCCCTCGATGCTGGGCACAGAGGGCAGCGTCCATTCATGTCCCATCCAGCTCCCTGCCAGTGCACCTGGGAAGGCAGTAGGGGGTGGCCCGAGGTCTGGGGCCCCTGCCACCCACCTTGGAGACCCAGATGGAGTTTCAGGCTCCCAGCTTCAGCCTGGCCAGCCCTGGCTGTTGTGGCCATCTGGGGTGTGAACCAGCAGAGGGAAGAGCCTCATTCCCTGCCCGGACTCCCTCCCTGTATTGCTGCCTTTCAAATGAATGAAGCTTCAAAATAAAACAAAAGCCATCTGTTGAAATCCCAACCCCAACAGGATCAGGGGGCGGGACCTTTGGGAAGCTATAGCTGCAGTCGTGATGGGGAGACCTTGACCTTTAGGACGAAGAGAGGCTTTGGAGAGCCAGGGCACTGTCCTGGGGTGAGGCCACCTGCATCCCGGGTCTGCCTCAGTGTCTGATTTCCCAGCCTCCAGATCCTGGGAGATGAATGTTTGAGCTGCTGTCTGTGGCAATGGCCTCAGCAGCCTCTGTGACAGACGTAGCACCTCATTCATCAATCCCTTCATTCCTTCACCCCCTGCGGACTGGCACTGCCCCTGCAGTGGGCCCTGGAGTGGGCAGCAGAGGTGGGGTACCCAGCCTTGGTTTTACTGGGAACCTAAACCCACTTTAAAAGAATCTGTTTTAAAAATTAATCTTTTTAAAAAGATTTATTTATTTCTATTGGGAAGGCAGACATACAGAGAGGAAGATCTTCCGTCCGTTGATTCACTCCCCAAATGGCTGTAGATGCTGGAGCTGAGCTGATCCGAAGCCAGGAGCCAGGAGCTCCCTCCAGGTCTCCCACTCAGGTGCAGGGCTCCAAGGTTTTGGGACGTGCCCCACTGCTTTCCCAGGCCACAAGCAGGGAGCTGGATGGGAAGTGGGGTTGCCAGGACATGAACCAGTGCCCATATGGGATCTTGGCACATGCAAAGCAAGGACTTTAGCTACTAGGCCACACCACTGGACCCCAAAATTAATCATACAACCTAAAAATAAGACCTGGATTCCACACCCCCACAGACTGTGCAGTTTCCTGTGATAAGATGAACAGCAAGACGAGTGTGAAGCTGTCATGGCTTAATGATGCTGCTTGGTAATTTTCAAGGCTTCAAGATTTAATCCAAACACCACGTGATTCACCCATCTGCCTGTACAACTCAGTGGCTCTGAACGTGTTCAGTTGTACAACCATTTCCATGGGTAATTTTAGAACATTAAAAAAAAGGGGGACTATTTTGAATGGAAAATCAGGGGGGAGGGGAGATCTTCCATCTGCTAGTTCACTTCCCAAATGGCCACACCAGTCAGGGCTGGACCAGGCCCAAATCAAGAGCCTGAAGTCTCCCTCGTGGGCGGCAGGGGCCCCAGCACTCGGGCCGTCCTCCACTGCTTTCCCAGATGCGTTAACAGGGGGCTGGATCGGAAGAGGGACAGCTGGGACTTGAACCAGTGCTGACGCGGGGGGGCAGGTGTTGCAGGCAGCAGCTTAGCTAAGAGGGACAAGGGCCAGCCCAGACAACGTGGGCAAACACATACGGGGCTTGGCATCGAGGGGAGGGGCAGGCCTGGAGCACAGGCCCGGGGGCCCAGCCTGCGGCACAGTGTCGGGCAGCCTGCTTCGGCTCACCATGCCTCAGCTTCTCCACCTGGAAAGTGGGGCTAGGAACTGGCCCCCACTCCTGGGCGGTGGGTGGCCTACATGTGGGAAGCTGCAGGAGGAAGTAGACGTGTGTCTGGAGCAGTCAGGACCTGGCAAATGCCAGGGACCAACAGGGACAGGCTCTGGGCAGGCGGGGTGCCCACCTGGGGGAGTTGCCTTCCTTAAGGAAAACAAAAATGGTGAGAGGCTGGCACAGTGGTTCAACAGGTTAACTCTCCTCCTGCAGCGTCAATAGCCCATATGGACACCAGTTCTGGTCCTGGATGCTCTCCTTCTTTCTGTAAATCTTTCAAATAAAAATAGATAAATCTTTTTTTTTTTAATTGATGTTGTATATGGTGGACAGACATAGTTAGAGAGAGAGAAATCTACCTCTGGTTGACTTCCCAAACGGCCACAGTGATCTGGGCCGGCCAGACTGAAGCCAGGAGCCGTGCTGGTGCTGCGTCTCCCACGCAGATGCGGCCATGTGGGCCGTCCTCCACAGCACCATCTCTGGGGAGTTTCTGAAGCAAGGCTCTGGGCAGGAGGTTCAAGAGCTCCTGTCCACGGGCCACACATACTTCCTGCTCCGTTTCCTGGGCGCCGCAGCATGTTGGCCACCCCAGCTCTCAGTCTCCACGTCTGCAGAACGGGGCTTGGTACGGCAGATCCTGAAACAAGACTGTCCACACAGACCTCTCCTGGGGCAGCAGTGAGGTGCCCGCCACACGCCCAGCAGGTGGGAGCAGCTGCCCAGCTGAGGCCTCCGCCCTGAGGGGAGGAGTCTGTGGCCCCCTGGGTGCTGCTGACCTGTCTCTGGCAGGAAGGAGGCATCATGGGACAGACGCCTCCTTCCCCATGATGGCCTCCGGATACGCCTTCAGAACCAATTCCTGGTTTCCATTTTGAACCAGGCAGGTCTCTTGACTCAGCCATCCGCCCACCCCCTTCCCTCACACAGGGCACATTGGGCAGGGGTGCCTCCCTGCAGGATTAGAGCGGGTGGGCCCGAGACCCCAAGACTCAGCTCTGCCTTTCTCCCCTCTCCCTGCCCCCCAGGCTGAGCTGGGCAAGAGCCGGGAGAGAAGCTGCAGTCTGCCTGGTGTCAACTTCAACTATGGCCTCTACATCCGGGGGCTGGATGGCGGGGTCCAGGAGGGTGAGTGCCCGGGTCTGGGGGGGACTGTGAGGGATGGGTGGAGAGAAAGATCCCGGGTAGAAACCACCAGTTGGGGCTCGGTAAGTGGGGACCCCACAGGGCCTGGGGCTGGGTGTCCTGACATCATAAGATCACCCAGGAGCCAAAAGGACTCAGGGCCCAGCCCCTGCTTGCCCAGAGGAGATCCATGCCCCATGGAAGATGCCCAGGTGGGCCCTCGACTCTCTAGAAACCCCAGGGTCTTTTGGGCACCGAACTTAGCAGGGTTGGGCAAGGAGGGCCATCTCCCCAACTGCTGGTTGCCAGTCTGGGGAGCCCCATCTCCTCTTGGTTACACCATGGAGGGCAGGACAAGGCTTTTTTTCCCAGTTTGCCCATGTACTGGGTTTTTGTCTTCCCTGCCATCAGCCATCAGCCACTGGAATGTGTTTAAGCAGCAGCCCACCTGCCCCCATGAGCTAACCCGCAACTACGTGGCCATGAACCGTGGAGCGGTCAAGGCCGGCCTGGTGACTGCCCGCGAAAACTTCCTCTACCGCCAGCTCAATGACATCCGCATTGGCGACCAGGATGACCGGCGTGTGAAAAAGGAGCCGCCCTCCCTGCCTCCAGACATGACATTCGGGATCCGGGCCCGGTAAGGCGGCTGGCAGCCCGCACGGGCTGGGCGGTCGGGTGCACGGGCTGGGCGGTCGGGCGCATGAACTGGGCACTGGCCACCACTTCCTGTCATTTCACCAAGATTTATCTCTGTCCTGGGCAGGTATACTGACCCAGGTAAGGCGACCGTGCAGCTAGACTCCAACCTGCACCAGGTCCCAGTTGGCACAGAGGGGAGAGCTCCTGGTGCACAGCGTTACTGAGAGATGTCTGTGAAAATTGTAGTATAGGACTGGAGACAGAGCAAGTGACCGGAAACCGTCAAGCTGATGTCACGCAGACTGCTGACCAAGAGGATAGTGTTAGCAAGTCTGAGTTATACACAATAAAGTGTGCAAAACCCTACAAACAGAACCACGTGTGGCCCTCCGGCCTGAGGAAGTGCAGAGGTCAAGGGACAGTTGGGACAGGGCCAGGAATTGGTTCCTACAGCTCACGGACAGAGACATGACGGGACTCGTGCGCCGCCTACCCTGCCCCTTGGGGTGTCCAAGTTCCTGGTTCCAGTCCCCACTCCTCCGCTTCTGCTCCAGCTGCCTGCCAGTGCCTCCTGGGAGGCAGCAGAGAAGGCCCCCGTCCCTGGATCCCTGCCACCCACGTGGGAAACTGTCTTCTCAGTGCCGCGTCGTCCAGCCCAGGTTGTCACAAACATTTGGGAAGCGATGAAAGCAGGTGGAGAGGGGTCTCTCTCTCTCTCTTTTCTCTTTCAAATGAATACATAAGTACTTCTTTTTAAAAGAAAGAGATGTTTCTTTTGATAAAAAAATATTGAAGTGAGTATAGACAAGGGAGTCTTTAAAAAGTTCAAGGAAGGCATGTTACAAAAACATATCTTTTAAATATATATACATTTTTACTTGAAAGGCAGAGTTACAGAGAGAGAAAGACAATGAGATCTTTCATCCTCTGGTTCACTGCTCAAATGGCCACAACAGCGAGGGCCAGATCTGGCTGAAGCCAGGAGCCAGAGGCTTCCTCTTGGCCTCCCATATGGTGGCAGGGGACCAAGCACTTGAGCCATCTTCCTTTGCTCTCCCAGGTGCGTCAGCAGGGAGCTGGATTGGAAGTAGAGCCACCAGGACTTGATACCAGTGCTGGTATCACAGGTGGCTATGCCACCATGCCAGGTCCTCAGTGTATCTTCCGATTCCTTGTCTCCATGAACTTTTGGATGTACCTTTGTCTACTTGGCCCTGAGAGCTCCTGTGTTCCAGCAGTCATGGCTCTTGCTGCCCTACCCCACTTCAGGACAAGTGGGCTGGGTCTGTGCTGTTCCCCCCCCCTCTGCCCCCAGCAGGTGGGATGGGTCTGTGCTGTTCCCCCTTCCCCGCCCCCTTCAGGTGGGATGGGTGGGTGCTGGGCTGGGTCCGTGCTGTTCCCCTTTCCCCTGCCCCCAGCAGGTGGGATGTGCCTGTGCTGGGCTGGGTCTGTGCTGTTCCCCCTTCCTCTGCCCCTTGCAGGTGGGATGGGTCTGTGCTGGGCTGGGTCTGTGCTGGGCTGGGTCTGTGCTGTCCCCCTCCCCTGCCCCCAGCAGGTGGGATGTGTCTGTGCTGTCCCCCTCCCCGCCCCCAGCAGGTGGGCTGGTTTGGGTTGCCCCGCCAGTCTCCATGTTTTATCATAAGAAGGCCAGGACAGGCATGGGTCGTTGGTCAGTGCTGATGAGGATCCGCGTTCTACACAGAAAAGGAACGACTTGCAGAGCTGTGCGCCCTCCCATCCACGCCCGGCCCCTCCTGCCAGGTTCTGTGCGCCCTCCCATCCACGCCCGGCCCCTCCTGCCAGGGTCTGTGCGCCCTCCCATCCATGCCCCGGCCCCTCCTGCCAGGTTCTGTGCGCCCTCCCATCCACGCCCGGCCCCTCCTGCCAGGTTCTGTGCGCCCTCCCATCCACGCCCGGCCCCTCCTGCCAGGTTCTGTGCGCCCTCCCATCCACGCCCGGCCCCTCCTGCCAGGTTCTGTGCGCCCTCCCATCCATGCCCCGGCCCCTCCTGCCAGGTTCTGTGCGCCCTCCCATCCACGCCCGGCCCCTCCTGCCAGGTTCTGTGCGCCCTCCCATCCAGCCCGCCCTCTGCCAGGTTCTGTGCGCCCTCCATCCAGCCCGGCCCCTCCTGCCAGGTTCTGTGTGCCCTCCCATCCACGCCCGGCCCCTCCTGCCAGGTTCTGTGCGCCCTCCCATCCATGCCCGGCCCCTCCTGCCAGGTGGTTTGCTCAAACCTGGTAACCAACTGCTCTCCCTCCTCTAGAATTGGCCCTGCCTCGGGCTCCCGCCACATCACACCGCTGTCATCTCCCTATCGCACAGGTTGAATTAGACGACCCGTGCACTTTGGGATGTGGCCTGCTCCATGTACAATGCTCTTCTCTTGCAGATAACAGCAGGTGTGTGAGCCAAGCCAGGCCATTCTGGGGCACACTGGGCACCCGTGTCCCACCCCACCCGGGTGGGACTGACCTTCCAAAGAGGAGTGCAGTTGATCAAAAGCCAGCCCCAACCACCCCTCTGTTCCTAAAGGGGAACTCACTGACATGCGTGATTTAAAAACCCCAGGGAAGAGCTTCAGGCACGGCTGGATCCAGGCGCTGATCTACACTCCAAGTCTTTGCTGCACCTGTGCTTTGGGCTCCATTCTCTGACAAGTTTCTTCTTTGCCTGGAAATATGGTAGAAGTAGTTACCTTCTATGTCCTCTGTCTCAGGACTCAAAGGACAGCAAATGCCCAGTGAGTGCCCAGCTGCGGTCACCTGCTCGGCTTTATGAAAGACCCTGATTGGCCAGGCGTGGGTTGCATGTCGGCCTCTGTGCCAATTCCAGAGGCCAGGGGAACCTGATGCCATCTGATTGGCCAGAGACAGGGGTGAAATCCCTCCTCATAACGCGCAGGTGCTGATGGCAGTGAGGAAGCCGAGGTCCTGCTTTTGTTTCCTGTGAACTGGCCAGTGCCCCGGTCCCAGGGCTTCTTAACCCACCCTGCATTGCAACACAGAACCAACCTTTGTCATACAGGTGGCCCGAGCCCCGGCCGGTGGCCTGTGAACTCTGCAGCCCGGGGCTCAGCCCTCCTGCCCACCTTGGTGCTGCAGGTACCCCTGCTGGCCTGGGCTCTCCCTTGCATTCTGCCATCCCCTCCATGCTGTCAGTTTCCCTAATGTGACACACTCCACTGCCTGACTTGTTCTGAGTGTGGGATTCGGTAAGGTCATGATGCTTGCTTTGAGACTGCACGGCATGCAGGACCATGTGGTAGTCGCGTGTCTCACTCACTGGGGACCTGCCAACAGTTTCAGGTGCCACCCTGCCTTTGTAGACTGTTCTCTGCCTTCATTCTCAGTCTGCTGCTGGACCTCCCCGCCATGCGTAGCCTTAGAGACCAGGCACCGCCTTGTCCACTAATGACGCACTCCTGTTCACCAGACCTCAGACTCCGGAGCGTGCCTCTGGATGCAGGGGACGACACTTCCGGCGGGCTCCTCATCCTTTCCCCACCTCTGAAGTCACCCCCACCTTGCCCTGCAAGGTGTCCCCTCGCCACGCTGCCTGATCTGGCTCCAGAGCTGCAGCCCCCAACACGTGTACCCTCCCTCACTGCTCGCTCGCACTCTGGAAGAGCAGAGAGACACACAGATCTCTCGTCTGCTGGGTCCCGCGGCAGCTGCGGCTAGACCCACGCCAGGAGCCAGGAATTCAATCCAGTTCTCCCGTGTGGGCAGCAGAGAGCCAACCCCTTGAGCCATCACCCGCTGCCTCCCAGGGCCGAGGAATAGCCGGAAGCTGGAGTGAAGACCAGACCTGGGACTTGGCCCCGGGGGAGCAGCTATGAGGAGCTGGATACGGGGAGCAGCATCCTCTGCCCTCCCACACCGCCTCCTTGCTGCACCCCCAGGGAGGGGAGGCCTAGGGTGTCTCCACCCACAGGGGACTCTCAAAGACAGCCTAGCCTCAGAGGGAGGTGGGGCCAGAAGTCAGTCTGTCCTCACATGTCCAGGTCACTTCCCCTCCCCAGGACTACACCAGCGCCCCAGTGTTCTGTAAGCCCCGGCCAGGCTGCACAGCTGCTCCCCGACTTCACTCGGTTGTCATGAGAACGCTGTGCAGGCCATGAGCCAGTCCCGGTCCGGCGAAGGCCAAGGGAGGGCTGCTGAGCGCCCTAACCTCACATGACTGCTTCAGCGTTGAGTTGGGGCTGAGTCCTCCACGCAGGACGCATGTATTTCAAAGCACAGCATGTGGGCGCCCCTGGGAGAGGAGCAGTCACCCAGCGGGAGCCTCTCACACAGGGAGAACTGGACGGAGAGGCAAAGACAGCTTCCCTAAGTCACAGCGCGGACTTGTGCGGAGGCTTCCCGTCCCGAGCTCCGTCGTGCCCACATGGGGACGCAGAAGACCAGCTTTGGGGCTGCGACCCTCCATGGCACCACAGGCCCTCGTCGGCCAGGCATCCATTAGTCGCTGGCTTTCAATAGGAAATCCGCAGCCGCTGGAGCCGGCCGCGACCACTGGGGGCCCGGGGAAAGGCCGTGATGGAGTGCTGGCTGTATCCACAGTGATGGCAAGTGGGCTTTGCATATGCAAATTGAATGGATTTTAAAATGGTATTTAATGACAATTTTCGCGGCAGACATTAACATTAATTGCCCCAAAATGAAAATGCTGCATTAGGTTGCTGTTAGCAGCAAATATTGTGGCCATAAAGCTCTATCTTCATCTGCGGCCGCCCGCTCTGATGTGACAGGGCGGCTCGGCAAATTGCAGGCAAAAAGCGCTTTATGGAACGCAGATATCCCCCAAGCAGGCCCAAATCAGCATCAATTTCGCTTTATTTCTCCATAAATGGAGGTTAAGTGGCTGCTGAAGAAGCTTTTGCTGAGAGACGCGACCTGCCCGGGGCAAGCTCCCCCGCCCTGCGGCACCCCCCGCCACCCCCACCGGATGCAGAGACCCAGTGACCAGATCACCGCCCTCCACTGACGGGACTGTTAT